GGGGGTCCGGTCCCCCCAGGACCCCATGCCTCAGTCCCTGACTACCTCCACAGCGATCTCACGACAAAGATCCCTAGCAAGAGAATGGGATGAGACGATCTCACAACAACGATTTCATCATGATCCCAATTCGTTTTAAATAATGCCATCATTGGTTTTACAGTACTAGTTTAGGTAATTTCAAGTGTTATTAATAAAATATACAATTAAATGAATTATATAATTCCATATTTAATTGAACATATCTGTCACCTAGATTCATGTCCCGAATAGCATTAGTCATTTGTTATTCCCTTGCTCAACTGGCCATTATTCTCAATCCTCAATTTCAATAACCGATAATCATAATTTCTTGTGTATGGAGGTTTTGGTTCTTCGAAAACGTCAATAGAGATCAAGACTCAATTGAAACAAATATAACAGTCTTCCAATTCCACCATACTTGTATAGTGGAAGTTATGCTTCTACTTTCGGTCCTACCAAGTTTCCTTTTCGCCAAACGCTCTTAAAGCCATCATCTCCCTCCACACGTTTTTCCATTTTTGTTTGGAGTCTCTTATGGGAGAACCTACCTTTGGTGCCTGCTTTTTCCAACTTAACAGGTAATTCTCCCTCAACTTCTTCTTTACTGACAACGCCCAAAGAAAAACACACGTCAAGTTCGAAATAAAGCAAAGGTGAGAAAAGCTGCCCTCAATATAGATTCCTAATTGAAAGCTTCCTTGGGATTGGGAGACATTTTTTAAGTGGAAAATAATTTTTTGAATAATATGTGGTGAAAAATGAATAAAATTTATGAATATGAGAAAATGTACGAGTTAAAAATAATTTTGAAGAGAAATGATTTTCTAAAAAAACTCTTCCAAACAAGCATTGAATTGGATGCTAAACATCCGAATGGGAAACTCCCGGTCGTGCCTTAAGCAGTGAACTTTTTCAACTTGGACAGAGCAATTTGAAAGATTGGAGATTGATTCAATTCAATAGCTTTGGACAAAGACAATCAGGTAACAAGATTTCATCGAAAGAAAGCATTCGCTATTAAGTTACTCAAATTCTCATATTGTGATGAAGAAAAAATTTTGGCCCCTATTTTGTTTAGATAAAAATCAAAGTTTTATTAGATTTTGATAAAAGTTGATGGAATGCATGGTTAAAAAGTTATGAAATATGTGGTTAAAACTAATTGTTGATTTTAACTTAAATCGAAAAATATAATTAAAATCAATTGTTAATTGTTAATTTAGATTTTAATATACTTTTGTAACTGAGCCAAACAAAGACTTAAAACCCTTGTTTGATAGATATTAAAATCAGACTCTTAATAGATTTTGATAGAAGTTGATGAAATATGTGGTTCAAAAGTTGTGAATCCCATAAAATGTGTGGTTAAAATTAATCGTTGACTTTGACTTGAAATTTTAGTTCAAGCCGAACAGGGGGATCTTTGTTTCTATTTGAATCGTTAAAAACATAGATTGAAAAAATAATGTTATAAAAACTATAGTACACAGGCCAATTCAATCAAAGACAGAATGAACTTTCCACATTGATCCAATATTATGGTAACCTTTTCTTACAATTTTTTTTTATTAAAGAGCAATTCATCTAAATATTTGTTAAAATTTTATATTTATAAACAATTCATCTTTGTAAATAAACAATTACATAATACTCAACAATTTTAAAGGGAAAAAAAATTAAAATTAAATCTAGATAATATTTTGTACGTTACAATACTATATAATTGATCTCCAGTCTCCGATGGACGGAATATCACTTTTCATTACTGAAGTATTCAACGTCATATTTTCTTGCAAATTCAAACGTACATAACTCATCTACAGGAAAAATATTAAATTGTAATATCTACTCCTCCTCGATGTGGTATTTTGCTAATTTAAAACATTATTTAAAAGTAACTTTTTTTTTTATCGAGTTAATTGTGCAGAGCTCGACTCCCTGGTTAAGCAGCAACCACCGTACCAGTACGGAGAGGGCAATCTGGTGGGGATTTATTGGGTGAACTTGATTTTGTTTGTTGCTTTGTTCTTGAGGTTCTCATTGAAACAGAGAGATTCAATCTCTTCTCTTTGGCTTCATCAATCTCTATTTGATCTTGTCTGCACTCTACGCTGCAGAATGGGACGTTCCCTCTGTAAAACGATAAATCACAATTCTTAAGAGATATCTTTCAAAGTAAATTATGTTATTTAAAAGTAACTTATTGAACAAAATAAGTAAAAAAACGCAATGAAGACTAAGATGAGAGGAGTTAAAAGGGGGAAAAGAGTTTCACCTATACATGAAGATGTCTTTGTTAGTTCTGAGAGATTGCTTGCAAAGAAAACACGCATCTAGAAAATGAGGTTTATGTTCTTCAAATCCATCACTTAAAAACCTTCCAAGAACGGATCTTAGATTCGGAGGTGCCGATAAATTCCTCATTATCTGCGGAGAATTACAATAAAAGGCGGTCGAAATTATAGAATGATTCTGGCGATGGCTGTTTACCGAGGATCCGGTTTCCATTTCTGCAACAGAATCAGGGCCATAATCTTCCTCTATAAAACAAGGCTTTATTCTTGAAGTAGTAGTTGCTGCAGAATCCATGAATTTAGAGAGAGAAAAAGAGAATTATAGAGAGAGTGGTGGAGCAATGCGGTTGTTGGGAAGGTGGAGGACTGGAGATATAAAGAGAGGTTTGGCGTGACAATCAATGAGAGAGAGAGAGAGTGGGGATTCTATGAAAGTGAATCTATTATTGTTGGGGAAATTGCCGAATTGGTCTCAAACATTTGCTCGAGTTACATTTTTATCCAAACTTTTTTAATTTTTGGTGTAAATCATCCTTTGGGACGGAATACATCCAAAAGGAACGTTAGTTACGTGGGTACAATGTAATTGCCGTTATTTTGTTTTCATTTAGGGTCCGTTTGATTGCAAACGTGGAAAATGAATGGAAAGAAAATATTTTACAGGGAAGGGAATTGCCTAAAAATTGTTTTACTGGGAATTGTAATTAATTGTGTTTGATTGGTATAATTTTCCACCTGGAAAATGTTGAAAGTTTGGTGTCCGTTTGACTTTATTTTTTATGAAAATTGTCCATTAAAGTGATAATTTTTNGGTCCGTTTGATTGCAAACGTGGAAAATGAATGGAAAGAAAATGTTTTACAGGGAAATGAATTGCCTAGAAATTGTTTTACTGGGAATTGTAATTAATTGTGTTTGATTGGTATAATTTTTCACCTGAAAAATATTGAAAGTTTGGTGTCCGTTTAACTTCTTTTTTATGAAAATTATCCATTAAAATGATAAATTTTTCTACCATTGGGTTCAGAATTTGTTTCAATTTACCAAAAGTTAAAAAAAAAAAAATCTGAAAAAAATAAAAATTTACTATACCGAATATCATTCGTTTGACTTTATTTTACATGAAAATTGTCAATAAAAGTGAGAAATTTTTTTACCATTGTGTCCAAGTTTTTTTCTAATTGCCAAAAATAAAAAAAATAAAAAAATAACCTGGAAAATGAAAAACCATGCCAACCCCAAGAAAATCAATTCCACTCACGCCTAGAATAGAGGCGCATGAGTGGACCAATTGGAAAATCAATTCTTGACAACAAATAACCTATCAAACACAATAATTTTGTGGAATTGGAAAATCTTTTCCATTTTCTAGGCAAAACACAACCTTAATAATTCTCAAATGACTTTTTCCACCCAAAAAGTCTTAAAAAAAAAAACAAAAAACAAAACAAAAGAAAACTTAAAAACAAAAAAGTTATAGAAAACAAAATATGAAATAGCTAATCCTTTTTTCACCTAGTCCAACTAGGGGTGGGCAACTCTAACCAACCCATCTAAACTGCCCAACTCGACCTAAATCGGCCGGTTTAGATCGGTTATTTGTGATTTTTCAGCTGGATCCGGGTTTTGGGTTAAGAAGCCGGTCGGTTGGGTGGGTCGGCTCATGGGTTGACTCCTGAAAACCGAGTTAACCCAACCCGACCCGACCCACTTAGTTAAAAAAAAAAAAAGTGAGAACCCAGCCCAACAGAACAAAAAAGGCAACCCCAGCCCACATAACACAAAACGCAACCCTAACTTTATTCTTCCAACTAAGTTCCAACTCCCTCTCTCTCCCGCCATCTCACACTAATCGTCTGTCTCTCTAGCTGTTTGATACAAAGCTTGCTTTTACCACTTGATGATTTGCAACTTGTTAGCTTCAATGACGGTGGATTGTTTGCCCACTTCCACCCTTACAAACTCATTCGCTAGCAAATCTTGCCCCTCCCCCCCTCAACCATATGCAAATCCACCCCTTATCTTGGATTCTGCAAATCAATGCTGGTTTCAAACTCAAATTCTTCATCCAATGTGTACGATTACGGCCTGTTTTCTGTCCAAAAATCCTTATCCACAGCCCGAATATTCCTTACATTGGTTAACGAGTATCTACAGGGGTCGAGAAATTTGACAATAATAGCTGTGAGGGCTCTAGAAGATTGCAAATTTCTAGCTGAGCTTAACATTGATTTTCTAATTAGTTCTTTCGTTACTGTCAATGGAACTTCATCGAAAACTCTTCCGATTTTTTAGGCTGACGATGTTCAGACACTTCTTAGCGGCATTTTGACAAACACTACCGATCAAGGTAATCTGCCACTCATATTGTGTTCTATTTTGTGGCTATGATTTTATCTTTTATTAAACATTAAGGAATTTGTCCAAGTGCACACATTTAATTGGTCAAAACAATGTTATTTACTACTGACTTAAAATAAAAGAATAAATCTTAGATCACTAACTCAGATTATGGAAAGGAAAATGTGGTTTGTCAGTTTGTAAATGATGTGATCTGCTCTTGGCCCTATTTTTCAACCAGTATGTGAATGGTGGTAATTAAATTATGTGAAATTGCTAGTTAAAAGGAATTGATTATTCTGATTCAATTATATTCTATTTCTGACATTATAAATAATTTGTTTAGAGTTCAATTCGCTTGGAGTTACTTTAATCCTTGGCACTTCGATGGATATATGCTGGTTCTACAAATATTTCTTGATTGTTCCAAGCCGACCAATTCAACCCAACCTGACCGACATTTAGTTAGGTTGGGTTGGGTTTCAATCTTTATATGAATTGAGTTTGGACAAAAATCGATTCAACCCAACCCACATCCACCCCTAACTCCAACCCATTGATGAACTAAATTTAAGAAATTGTTAGAAAACAGTCGATACCTTTCACAAGTCATATCATTTCATATTTTAGATAATGCAGTCAATATTGCAATACAAAAGTCTTGCCACTAAAATTAACGTTAGGATATTCCTCGAATAGATTTTCAAGATCTAGCTCCAATAAATATTACAAAATCAAAATACAAATATTTAATTCTAAAACAAGATAAATGATAAAATTAATAATTTGAAAATTATGTGCAATAAAGATAAAAAAGCCAAGATGGAGCCGCGATTTTTTTGCGGGTCGAGGACCCAGAAGCATAACAGAATTGTTGCTTGGGAAAATTATATAAAATCAGGG